AGAATATGTCTTTTTGACGGCCGCGGGAACATTTCTCGGAAAAACGTCATCGAGGTCAGAAACAAACTTGAGTCTGAGATCGATGGCAAGGCGCTTGTGACACCTGAGTGACCGGCTTTTAAAAAAGGAAAAGTAAGTTCGGATGTAAGCATCTTTTTAGGGTTCGAATTCGCAAAAGGAACCCTTTTAGGACTTTGTTATCCCTGCTTGTTCGTCTATCTGTGTACCCTTTTTCTTAGGAATATGTTATCTTGATTTGTTAAATCCAGCGTAAGCGTTCGATGAACATATCCGATATGTATCTATAGGCAGGCAGGGAGGTTCATTATTTACACTCTAATTTGATAATCATTTTTGATATTTCTGTGAGAATAATGGTTAGAAATTTCTTAAGGATATACGAATAAAGGAAGGAAGTATCAGGGAATATAATCATGCTGCATCATGAAAGATTACTGGCTAAACCTTCATTAAGATCTAAAGCAGGTTTCTCATAAAATAAAATTTCAAAATAAATTAAAATTAAAAGATAAAAACTCACATATGCTCGGTAGGTCACATTTCAATTAGTACCCATAACTGACCCGCACTTAACTGGTGGAATGTCTCAGGGAAATAATCTGTCTAGTTACAAAATGTTAAGTATTAAACACTTGTTTAAAAAAGTTTATAGTAATTGTTGTAAACGCCTGGCGAAATTTGAGAGGCAATTATAAAATTAGAAGGCAAAAAAGTACCTTGAGAAATTAGGAAAATAATATTTTTTTAGAAAAGTATCAGCGACTTCAATGAGTCCAATTTATAATAAATTGTAATACACTGTTTCTTAAACCTCTATCTATAATATATTCTTCATGTGAATCAACCTAGAGTAGAACCAATTACTTTTTTTATTATATTAATGGCAAAAACTTACGCACAAAAAAATCATAAAACGGTTTAATCGGCTTAAGTAAAACAACAATTTGAAGGCCAGCTCTGACATACTACTTTTTAGCCAGGTGTGCGTTTTTTATATTTAGTAGTAGTATACGTATTGTGTAAATATTTTCACAGCGCCCTTGATATAAGGAGAAATATATTCTGAAATACTAAATTGGAAAGGCAAATAAGCATTAGAACTGGGCCTCAATTCTGCTATTTTATATGCATCGAGTGGCCATTGGCATCGGTATAAATATCGGTAGGCTACACTAACTAAACAACAACAAAAACAGCAACGATAATTCTATTAATTACGGTGTATTATGTCGTTTTAGTTTATACATTTGTATCAATAAATATGATAAATCCATAACAACTTAATGGACCAAAATAAAAAAAAACTTAATACATTGTCAAATTCTAAGAAAATATTTTTTGTGTTTTTCCAAATATGGCAATCTTTTTGATATGACCACTGTTGCCACTGTAAAGACACTGAGTTAGTGTAGACTACCGATATTTATACCGATGCCAATGGCCACTCGATGGCATCTCAATAGCGTGTCAATGGTATGACAGTGGTTTGGCGTGAACATAAAATAGCAGAATTGAGGCCCTGTTCAAATGTTGTCGAAGCGACCATCTACATATTCACTAACTCAATATTTAGCTACATACGTGAAACTGTTCTAGATTACACATTATTTTACCAGAAAACCAGAATATCTCCTGTGCTACATTTATCAAGACTTGTAAATATGATATGTACTTATTAGATTTTTAAATTAATATAATTTCGTTATATATAACAGTGACTCTATATATTGTGTACATGGAGTCACTTTATGTTTCGGTTCTACAACGGTACATTCATCCATCTTCATCATCAACAACCATTAGTAGTCCACTGCTGGACATAGGCCTCTCCTTAGAAAGGAGGTTTTGGGTTACTATACCACGCTCGCCAGACGGGTTGGTATAGGGTTTGTTTCCAAGAGGCGGCGCGCCTGGCCACAAGGGGAGTCTCCCTGGTGGTCGGGCGCATTGAGGCGCTGGGCTTACGGGTGGCCCTAGATAAGACGGAGGCCCTGTTATTTCATGGGCCCCGTCGTGGTCCACCCCCTGGCGCCTCAATCGTGGTCAACTCGGTCCTCGTACCGGTTCGGGCCCAGATGAAATATCTGGGCCTGATCCTCGACGGGAGGTGGCTCTTCGACGAGCACTTCCGACAGCTTGCTCCAAAGCTGGTCGGCGCTGCGTCTGCCGTAGGGCGACTTTTGCCCAATTTGGGTGGACGCAGCGTAGCGACAAGACGGCTGTACACGGGGGTTGTCCGGTCAATGGCACTATACGGTGCACCGGTGTGGGCGGCGGCTCTGACCGCCCAGAATAGGGCACGCCTCTGGCGCCCTCAGAGGGTAATGACGGTCAGAGCCATACGCGGTTACCGCAACGTTTCGACGGAGGTGGCGTGCGCGTTGGCCGGAACTCCCCCGTGGGATTTGGAGGCGGAAGTGCTCGCCGAAGTTTATCGGCGAGTGGCTGACTCCCGGGCGGAGAGCGGATTCCGCCCTCCGCCCGAAGACGTGCGCGAGTGACGCGAAGCCGCTCGCCGAGCCACGATGGCTCGTTGGTCGTTCTGGCTGGAGACTCCACGCTCTGGCTTCGCCGCCGTGGAGGCTCTCTAGCCGGTCATCGCCGAGTGGGCAGGGCGGCAGCACGGGACCCTTACCTTCCGGCTGACGCAGGTGCTTTCCGGGCACGGTTGCTTCGGAAAGTACCTGCACTCGGTCGCTAGGAGGGAAGCGCTGAGGGAAGCGGTGGACGGGGTGGGTTTCCCCTCCACCCGCATTAGTTTGGCCAGCCGCGAGGGGGCGGCGTCCGCGTGTGCCGGACGTCGCCTAAAGAGAGGAAAATTTTGAGACGGGGCCCGCAACAGGAGCGGGCCGGCGCTAGGAGGGGTCCGGATGTCTTAATAACAGCTGTTCCCGGATCCCTCCTATTACAGGCGCAGAGTGGCACACCGTGTGGTTTTAGTCGGTCCGAGTCCGACACACCACCCCCCCGCAAACCCCGGTGGGGTTACGGTCCGAGGGGATTTCCACACGTTAAAAAAAAAGGGTTTGTTTAAAGTTTTCCTTCTCTTTGCAGTGCTGTTGTCCTGCGTAGTTTATTCCCTTAGTCGCCGCTTACGACACCCACGGGATGAATAGGGGTGATGACATTCCGTATTCTTAATCCGTCCACACGGACGACGACACAACGGTACATTAACTGCATTAATATCCTGCTTAAGTACTTTTACCACAAATATGTTAAATAAATCCTTAAATTATTTTTACATTTTCACCTAATTATTTTAAGTAATTAATTTAATGAAATCTTAATTAAAAACTTTCTTGTGGTTTTTTTGACGACAAATTATTTATATATAAATTAAATTGAGACGCTATTAGCCCACAATGATATTATAAAAAAAACGTATAAAAGTAATCTGACCTTAATAAACTGATAGTATTGCTTCCACAGTAGCCGAATTATAATAATTCAGGTTTCTTTTTTATATTCGTTTTGAATACAAAAGTTACTAGGAACACAGAGTTAAAAACAAAGGTGCATCTTAAAAAATCAGAGGGCCGCCGCCAGCCACAGTGACGTAGCTTCAGCAAATATTACTGATATATCAGGTTCACTGCACTCCATCACGAGATTACATACACTGTCACATTTTTTATCACTACACAAGTCACTTTTCCGAAAAAACACTGCAATCCAAGTTATTCACTGCAATCCATCAATATTATCGAAGAATCACTGTTAAAGGCGGCGGCGGCACCTTTTTGTGCATTAAATGAGATTTCACATGCCATTTCAGGATTAATTAACAATTCAATAAATAAGCACAATAAACCTATAATAGCTGCACATAAAAACTTAAACGTCAATTTAAAACATTAAAAACATGTGGGATATGCGAAATCCTATACAGAAATTATAATAAGCGTACCAGATACCAAGGCCTAAAACCACTATTAAGTATGTTATTACGAGTACTATATTAACATATTTCCACAGTAAGTCTTACTATCAAAAACCAATTCCTTCTCTAGGAAGCAAATTAGTTTTCTTAAATTTATAAACGTACATTTACACACATTCATTACGTTACAGAATCAGAGAATGTATATTTGACTATTACTCTTAACGAATTATGGAAGTACTAATCACTACTTAATGTAAGTATTGATCACCTGTACGGTTCTTATGTAGAGTACATTTACTTACAGTCAAATCGGAAAGTAATTATTGCAATTCACTGGTCTTCAATAGACCAAATCCAACGGAACAAAAGAAATATTAAAATACTACAACTTAGTCATTTACAAATTATATGTATTAGACTAAAATAAATGAACTGAAAACGTCAATACGGTATATATTGTAAAGTATACATAAATACGGTCAATATCGTAAAGCATTTAAAATAAGCAGTGGAGGGACCATAGCTTAGCCTGTTCGTTCAAAAACAAACAATAATAGGGTGGAAAGAATCACTAAAATATAAAGACCCACTGTATATAATTATGTTTACGGGAATTAACGCGCTCACGAAGTGCGAGGTAGAAATGAATCTATCCAGTCTCACTTGTTTGATGTTATGTGTGGATGAAGAAACGGCTGCCTTACGAACTCAAAGGCGGAGCGCGCGCACTGCTGCACCAGTCAGCCTGTGACCACGGTCAGTGCGTCAGTGCATTTCAAAGGCCTGTACCTTAATACCTATCGTGAGCGTGTTCATTCCCGTAAACATAATTCTCTTATTATTGAACGCGATAGTTAGTAAAGACCCACTGTCCGTCCCATATACTAATATATATTTTATAATTTTGCGAAAAAATAAACTTGCAGTGGATTTAAGCCATGATTTTCTAAATACAGTGACCATTTTTAGTTAATATTATTGCTGTATTTTGTTTTAAATAAAAAGTATAAATTAAATAAATAAATAAACAAAAAAACTGAAACCAAAGATGTGTCACTGATTAAAAGATTTAGCCCAGTAAATTTGTACTCACGAAAGGTGGTAGCGTGACACGGAAGCGGGAGCAGGGGTAGAATTCACGGAGGACGAAGAACCTGAGTAGCCAGAACCGGCTGGTGAAGAACCGGCCGAGGGCGCACCCGCTGCCGATGGTATTGCAGCCGGCTCATAGTATTCGGTGGTAAGAGTGCGTTCATCCAGCACATGTTCTGCGTTGTGTGCCTTTGATGCAGACTTAATGTCCATAAAGGCAACTGTGGCACATACACCACTAGTTCCGCCAGCAGCCACACCCGTGGCAACGTTGTCAGTCCGACCCAATAATTTGACATTCTGGACTCGGCCATAGCTGTAAAAAGAAAAAATCTTTCACATATCAATATCTAATTTATTTCATTTTAACTACAGCTAGTAGTGTCATGATTAATCAATAGGCGGGTCCACACAGAGCGAGCAGCCTAGCGAAGCAACTCGGCCTGTGTGGACGTGTGTCGCCCAAGGCAAGCGAGCGTGCCGCCGCGGTCGAGCGAACGAGCCGCCGAGCCGTTGGCCGTTTGCCGCCCGTACTCTGGACGTAAGCGTGTTTTGTTTCGTGCCTCGCTCGGGCATGTCAATCTTTGATATAGATTGTTTTGACATGCGAAAGGAATCTTAACTCGCAACCGAACAAACGACGATCCTAAACCTGCCACGCTCATTCGGGGACAGTTTCCTTGCGCAGCAAATATCTCGCGAGGCTGTTCGCTCTGTGTGGACCCGCCTACTGAAATTTAATTGTAAAAACTTATAACAAATTGATTTTGGAATAATTATATATTTTTTGATACTTCTAACAATGTTTTTCGAAAATATATTATTACAGTTGACAACCACAGTATACATTTTTGTTTAGTTTGGCCTGTCTTTGTTTCTCTCGTTGTTTGGATTGCAGGAATGGGAACACCCAAATACTCCAAAATATTTTATTCCGAATTTCGATGTTCCGATGTTCAAAAGTCCGAATTTTATAATACGGAAGAATTAACATGTCTATTATTAAAATTCACGAAATTTATTTTACTAATGGTCGTAAATGCGATATATTTGTTTTCCGATTTTTATACGTTATAAGAATCTAATGCTCTATGAGTCCTCGATCCGAAAAACGAAATTCCGATTTTCAATTCTTTGAATAAACCGCTAAAATTAAGATTCTGATTCAGTTAGTATACTTAATATTACATATAATAGTATAATAAAGTTAGGCATAAAGATTCAGAAGCTATAAGTAATTTTTAATGTAATTTAAAAACGTCTACTTTAATATATATATCTCACACATCTCACACGCTGATAAATATACTTAAATATTTTTAAACACATACATATTATAGATAAATTACACCCAAACACAGATCAAGTGATCATGCTCATCACACAATATTTGTCCTGGGTGAGAATCGAACCCTTTGGCGTAGCAGTCAGGGTCACTAACCAATAAGTATTAACAAATTTAAGTCTTTAGTAAAGCTGCAACTGTGTGAAAAGGCTTACTACACTATTACAGATTATTTAGACGACAAATTTGCTTGGGATTGATGCTGCTCACTCCCACATTTACGTAGACACTTTATTGTTAAGTTTCAAAGTGATGGACATTTAATTTTTTTTTTTTGATGTATTTTGTATTTTGTTTTCGGATTTTATTTTTCGTTGAATTTGAATTGTATAGTTTTTTTTTTTGTTTTTTGTGTAAGTATGTAAATGTGAGTATAGTGTAGGCTTGTAATGTTAATTCATATTTTATTAACTTTCTGGTGGTACTGACTGTACTCGCAGTTTTATTTAACTTTGTTTACGGACTTAAAAAAAAAAAAGACACCTCTGTGGTTTGTTTCGGCGTTTCTTCCCAGAGTGAGTCTTAGGAAATGCCGGCTCCTTCTAGCTATGAAGTCCGACTTGTAAAAATATCTGAAAAGATTTACTTACAGAAATAAATAATAAAATTAATTACAGAAATTACAGAAATAAATATTGATCATTTATAATAGATCAATAGGCAATTAATATTTGTGTATTAATATTTTTTGTGGGTTTTCTTCTTCTGCGTATACCTGCGTCGTTAGGTTAGGGTAGAACTGTGACCTTTAAAGATTCCCGATTCCCTGTACTGTTGGTGAATCATTTGGGTAAAGTTAAGTTAGAACTGTGCCCAGCAAAAGAAAATAATTTTATTCGAGAAAATAGAAAGAATTCGATTTTTTTATTTGAGTGGGACTTTTTGTTTTTCGATCTATTGAGACTCGGTATTTTGAGCATAGTAATTATAAACGTTCGGAATATTGAAATTTTTAAATTATAAAAATAGGATGAATGACCAATCGGAGTTGTTATTTTAGGAGTATTGAACCATTCGGAATTATGAAAATCGGTATTTTGAAATTCGTATTTGTGACTGAGGGAATAAAGTTTTTCGTATTTGTGTAGTGTACGTGTACCCCGCAGGAATTATTATGTGTATAAAGTTTAAACTTGGTCGTTCCAGTTGATTCAAATTGATTGTGACAGTCGGACAGACAGACGTAGGAATGATCTTATAAGGAGGAAAAAGGGAAAAATTAGCAAAAGCGTCCGCCTTAGATTGCTTTAGTCTTTTGAAACTAATTACGACGAGTTTGGATGATAATACACCTGTCGCATCACTAGTGTTAGACATGACAAACGATCTACCCGAAGTAATTCCACACAAGTGTATTTTATATGCTGATGATACTACTATCACTATTAAATCTAAAAATAAAAATTACTTAAAATTACTTACTTAATTATTACCAAGAGAAGATCAATTTGTCATTGAATAGTGATTTCGTGGTTAAAGTCAAATAACCTACAAATTAATCTTAGCAAAACGAAAATGCTTCAATTTCAGACTTACAGTACACGCGTCTGAAACTGCAAATAGAACATGCTAATGAGATTATCGAAGAAGTAAACAACACATAGTTTCTTGGTGTAATTATAAGAAAAACTGCAATAGAAAGGCACACGTTGATATTGTACGTTCTACAATAGATTTATACACGTTCTGTACCCGGTGTTGAAGCTTTGCACGCATCATGGTTACGTCTCATCTGCGGTACAGTTTGATAGTGTGGGGTTGTTCTGTTGATGTAAATAGAGCCTTACGGGCACAAAAAAATGCATACATGTGATCTGCTAAGCGCAGTCATTGGACAGCCTTTGTTCAAACAATATAAAATACTACCGCTCCCAGCTTTATATATACTCGTATTTGAAATTTGTGTCCTTGTACATAGCCACATTAATTTATTTGAACTCCATAAAATGTTACCAATAGATCAGTTAGAAAAAGTTAAAAGCTGCTTGTACCTAGACAAAATCTAAAAATATGTTCCATTAATACGTATTGTAAGTCCATTCGCATTTACAATAAATTGCCTGACATTTTTAAATTGTTGACTTTCAAAGATTTAAACGCTGAGTCTTCGAAATCCTTTTACAAAAGTATTACTGTTCCTTATATGACGAAATGAGCGATTTTACTGAAAATGTTTGACATTAAATTTGTTTCTTGCATTTGTTCTATTTAATTACTTTTATTGTTCCAATGTATTTTGCGGATGTTAATTAATTCTACTATTTGTTATGTATGTATATTAGTCATTTATTTGTATTTGACGTCATTTAACTTATTTTTTTTGGCATTTTAATTATAACCATGAAAGCACCAGTTCAACAGCAGAAATAGTAGAATGCATGAAACTAATGAATATAATATAACACCTAATGTACTATGTTCTAATAAATAAATTTATCTTTATCTTATTTAAACCTCAAAACTCTTTCATTTTTAAGCCGATTTTTAGAATTCTTTTTTTTATTTGGAAGGGTATATTTTTTATATATTGGGAGGTTATATATTTAATTAGTGTTAAATATCGTAGTTATTTATACATTACAAACATACAGCCTTGGCCAAAAGTATTAGGCACCCCAGAAAAATGCACAATTCATGTTGACTAATTGAACAATGAATAAATGCTTATTTTAGATGGCATGCCGGCGTCACAAATAACTTCCTAGAAAAGCAAGCAGCTATCTGTTATGGTCATAAAACACCTGGTGACTGAAAACAAAGGATTTGTTTTTATTCGTTCTTATCAGTCAATGTTTGGTCACTTGTGTTCAGGACTCTAACGAGTAAACAAGCTTTTATTTCTAACATAGTGATTAAATTGACGCGTAATTTATTTAAAAATGCCGAAAAGAAGTGAACTTAGTTTGGAAAACCGAGTAAAAATACAACTTTTCCATGAACAAGGGAAGTCGCAAAAAGAAATTGCTAAGTTATTGAAATGTTCGCGTTGCGCTGTGCAATCTGCTATCAAACGGTTTGCTGAGACTGGCAGTCACGCTAATAAAGAACAGGCAGAAAACGTGTGACTTCGAAGCGCGAGGACAGAAAATTAATACGCGAATCTATGAAAGATCGGAAGAAAACATCATCAGAGCTTGCTGCTACTTTGTCCGAAGAGGCTGGAAAGCCAATAAGTGCTCGGACCACCAGAAGAAGAAGCAGGCTTAAAAGGATGCAAAGCCAGGAAGAAGCCCTGGCTTTCAGAAGCTAACAAAAGAAAACGACTTGATTGGACTCTACGGCATCCACATTTTACTGAGGAAGATTGGGTCAATGTGGTATGGTCTGACGAATCTAACTTTGAGGTAAATAATTTTTACTGATTTTGGTATTAATAATCATGGTCAGTTATTTATTTAACTAAAATAATAAAAGTTAAGGCATTTTAAAAAAGGTGTTTTTTTTTTCTTTTTTCAACAGATATTTGGAACGCCAGTTGTGACTTTCGTGAGGCGACGTGTGGGCGAAGAGTACCATCCAGATTGCGTCGTACCGACAGTAAAGCATGGAGGAGGCAGCATAATGATCTGGGGCTGCATGGCTACTGATGGGGTTGGCTTAAATGTTTGTTTGCGAAAGTCTAATGAACAACGAAAAGTACAAAAAAGTGCTTAAAACTGCGCTTATGCCTTCGCTAACGAGTATTTTCGGCGATACCAACTTAGAGGGAGTTATATTCCAGCAAGACAATGCAACTTGTCATAAGTCAGCGACTACGATGCGTTGGTTTACTGAAAACAACATTGAGTTGTTTGATTGGGCAGCGCAGTCACCAGATTTGAACCCAATTGAACATCTTTGGAGCATTTTGAAGCGCAAGATTAAAGAGGATAGTATCACATCGAAAACGGCATTTAAAAAATGCGTTAGTACAAGAATGGCATGCCATTACAAGGGAGGATTGTACTAAGCTTGTACGCAAGCATGCCAGC